TTTCTATTGGTAGGTCGCATAAATATCTGGAACTCTCAGTATTGTTTGATGGGTTTCTGCATGTGGCAGGAATCCAGCTGACCAGAAAGTAGTATTTCCAAGATCTGGGATCAATATTATTCTAACATTTGTTTCACTTGTCAAATAGGCATATGTTGCATTCTATTGATTGTAATATTACTCTTGTATAACTAACTACATTTGTAGTAGATTATACTCAAGTTTATATTTATACCAAGGTAATATTACATCAGTTCTATCTGAGAAATATTGATGCAATTTGTGAACTTAAATGACAGTCACTCTCTTACTATGCATTAGTAACTAAAGCATGTCTTCTGCACATCAACATTCACGCAGCTGTTAATGGTCTCTGCAGCAATGTCATCACTGGCACAGAATAAAGCCTTAATTAAGAATAAAATATTACGGGAGTGTCGTAAAACTAGCTGGAATTTAATTTGGATGTCATTCAAAGCCCATTTAAGTTTAAAAAGGTTTGTATATTCAAATTGATTTCAATTCCCTTAACACTACTGGAAATTGATTTATCATTTGGCACTGTCCATTTGTGAGTCCTAACTTAGCAACTCACTAACGATATCGTGAACGTTTCAGAGATCAGTGTATTGCCTAGTATACAGTATAAATAAAGTCTTAGACTCCTTGGAGAGGAGGGGACCAGTCTTTTTGCCTCCCCGTGGGAGGTAAAATCAGGGGAACTGCCACCCCCCCCAAAATAACCGAATAGCCTGTCGTTTCTCTTGATTAAATATTAACCTTTTATTTCTAAAAATGTAAATAGCTTAAATAAATTACTCGTGGCATTTTCAACTTTTGCTGTTTAAGCCTGGATGTATTAAGGCAGAGCCATTGCTTGTTGCTGGTGATGTTCTTGCTGGTGTAACATGTCTCAGTTACAGTTTCTGATCCTGGGAAGAAGTCAGACAATCAGTCCCCTTATTACATTGGTGCCAAGTCAGTCAGCCATAGAGAATGAGTTGAGAGGAAATTGTTGCAAATCTCTATTGGAATACAATAGATGTGTAATCTGCATTCATCTGTGGTGCTGTATTTTAGTGATTAGAGTAAGCGTGAGGACCTGGGTTCGATTCCCAGGTGGGGCGAAATGTTGGGCATGTTTCCTTACTTCACACACCTCTGTTCAGTAAGTAGGAACACGATTGTTAGTCGATTGGTGGAACGCTTTTCCGGCGGTAATAATCCCTTCCAAAAAAAATTATCTGGTCACTCAATCCACGACTGTTTGTTGGACACTGCTGTGCGCAATTGGCTGCCGCATTTCGCCCACAAAATAACATTCAATTCACTTTAGAGTATGTTCTCTGAAGTGCTTTGAGACTCCTCGAAGACATGATAAGGTGCTGTATCAAATCCAAGAATTATTATTGTTACTTCAGTAATTTACAAATTTTATCGGATCTTTGCAATTTGGGAAAAGAGTTCCTCTCATTTCTTAACTTTCTCGAGTTCCTTTTGAAACCTGGTGCCCTTAATAACAGTCAGTGCATCCAACTTCAATGCTAAAGAGACTTGTATTTGAATCTCACCCTGTCATTTGAACTCAGTTGTTTTCTGGATGAGTATTGATGGCCAGTGGGGGTTGCTAAATTATATGCATCTTATTGGGAGGCGGCTGGATTCTGTATAATATTGACAAACATCTATGGGTTGAAACAGAGTTGTGTTGGCAGTTATTGGGGGGAATGAGAAAGGGAACGCATAATTGAAAAACCTTTGGCTATAAGATTGTGGCAAGAAAACAACAGAATATGCAAAATATTTTATAGGTTAGATATGTCTTAGGTTACTTACAGAGTACATTTCTCTGCTATACTCAAAACGGCAACAACAAATTGCATTTATGTAGCGTCCCTCACGCAAGGCAATGTCCCAGAGAGCTTGGCAGTGGCGGAACATGATGCCAAGTCGGGGGGAGGGGGAGGTGACCGTAGGTACGGTCAAAAAGGAAGGTCTTCAGACATGACCTGAAGATGGAAAAGGAGGGGACAAGGCGGAGGGATAGAGGAAGAGTGTTCCAGAGCTTGGGGCGTAGTTGCCAAAAGTGAAACTGAGGACACAAGAGACAAGCAGGGGGCTGGAGCCAGTCGAGCAGAGGCACCAGGTAGTGGGTTAGAGAGAAAATAGGTCGGAGAGATAGAGGGGTGTCAGGGCATGAAGGTATTTGAAGACAAGTATGAGGATCTTAAAATTGATCTGTTCGGTGATGGAGAACCAGTGGAGCCTGGCTAGAACTGGTGTGATGGATGTATGGAGTTTAGTGCAGGTGAGTATGCGGATGGCGGAGTTTGGATTAACTGGATTTTGTGGATAGTGGAGCTGGGGAGACCGGCGAGGAAGGTAAAATGTGGGCTAGTCACAAATTCAAAGGAGCACTGACTGGTGCACGAATTTTACCTTCTATTTTTCAAAGCAGCGTATTTAGTGAGCTGCATGAACAATTTGAGGCTATGGGGCTATGAACTTGCCCCATCTAGGTATTGACTGCTCAAACTTGCTTTTTTCGTCTTGTTGCATTGGAAAGAAAAGGTTGAGATTACTAATGTTAGGTTTCCACGCATGCACAGAAAGTTAACACCTTGAAAGGGACAAAGGAGTCCTGTAGCTCAGTGGTTGAGCACTCGCTTTGCAAGCGAGAGACCTGAGTTCAATTCCAGGCAGGTCAGGGCGAAACCTTGGGCAAGTTTCCTTACTCCACACAGAGCCTAATAATAATCCCTCCAAAACCAAAAACAATAATAAATTGGTCATTTTCAATCTACGACTGTTTGTGGGACATTGCTGTGCGCAATTGGCTGCTGCGTTCGCCCTCAAATATACAGTCAATTCACTTTACAGTATATTCTGTGAAGCGCTTTGGGACGTCCTCCCGACGTGAAAAGCGCTATATCAAATGCAAGGATTATTATTATTAAGAAGTGGGCTTTTTGGGGGGATCAGTTGGCTGTCTGACACGTGTGGAAACCCATCACCATACCTGAGCAACCAACCAAGTTTCATGAATCTCCCTCTGCTTGTTCAGCTCGGACAGCAATAATCAACAGGGCTTTGGCTTCCATGGTTAACAGAGGCTGAGTGGTAAGTCCTCAGTGACTGGTCTGCCCTTCCAGGTCCTGCTGATGAGCCAGGCTGGCTGGACATGTAGCTGAGTTGCTGAGCAAGTCTGCCACAAGACACCTCATCCTCTGAGTTCTCAAATTAGCCTACTTCACTCAGTGATGGTACACCCGTAAATTACACTGTGTAAATATGCTCACCATAAAGTTACTGTGGGACTAAAAAGTGTAATGAGGTAGACATTGGTGTTTCACCTCTGGGACCTAGATTTAAATATGGCCTTGATTGAAATGGGACATAATTCTCCTCTGTTGACTCTTGGTGTCCTGTGTCATCTTAATCCAGTTTCTGATGGTCCATAACTTGGGACTGAATTAGCAATTTTACTCAGAGACCTGGGAAATGAGTGACACACTGAGGGTGCTATTTCTAAGTTTGGAGCACAGAGAAGAAACTTTCAGTGCTATGTCTGAACTGGGAGTGATTTATACTAACACTAGTTGCTCAAAGCCTCAACATTAACTTAATATGATGAGCATAAAATTCGCAAAAGAAGTTTTTAAAAAGAGGTCACATTGAAAGGGGTCTGCTGTCCTCAGGAGATGGATACTAACATTCTAAGTGCTTTGGGTATCTTTCATTCGAATTGTTCATTCCTTACCACTCTGTGCAGTAATATAATATTAGGTTCACCACATTGGGAAATAAAGCATTATGGTTGGTTGATCACTTCATTATGATTTATAATGTATCATTAGTTCCCTTAGTGGAACTTCAGTGCACATCACATATATAGACTGACAACTCAACCAAGTGCAATGATTACATTAATAGAGCACCTATTTAAGGTTAGTACATAATGAAGTGTCGAATAATAATCTCTATTTAAAGTGTATTCTCCACTTCATTTATGTGTACTAACTTTAAATAGATGTACATTATACTGCAATTTAAAATAATTCATCACAATAAAATAGTTCTAAAAACAAATTTATTCTTTAATCATTGAAAAATGAAAACGTTGTTGTAGACAAACCAGCAATTTCATCGCCCTTTGGTCTCAAGGAGTTTGTAGGTTAAGATTCCACTGTATACGTTTGTGTCATGTGGCAGCTTTTCAAATGATGTGCATCTCAATGTAAATGTTAGTGTTTGTAAACTTTAAACAGATGTTTTTGAAATTTAATGGACGATGTTTTCTTAAATGTTTAATCATTTTGTTAGCTTTGTTGAGAAAGTGTTTTTATTTTTTATTGATTAACTTTATACTGGCCATATTCGTGTTCCAAATGCTTCCAATGTCATTTGTATTCAGGCTTACAAACAGACTGGATGTTCAAGGATTAAATTATTTAAACTCCCACAACACATGCACTTTTGCTTTTCAAGCATGAGTTATAATTTAATTAGAAACTTCTGGTGCAATGCTTGCTGTTTAAATATTTAAATGTTCTAAGGATCACTTTCGATTATCTACTTTTATGAAATTCCAGAAGATGTCATATTTCCAGCTCCCAAAGTTGAGCTTCAAATTGTTTGTTGATGGAGAGGAGGTCCTGGTAATTACGTGCACTCATTTATGCCAATAGAGGATAAAAACTTAAGGGAAATGTAATGGGTATATTTCAGTGACAGCTAGCAAGGAGCATTTGCTGTGATTAAGGATGGATTTGAATCTAGTTGAAAATGTACTCTCATTGGAGTCCCCCAGTGGAAGTTGCCCTAAAATGTTAAATTCCCCAGAAGAATATTTGTGCAGCTGGAAAGCTTTGAAATCCACTGGGGACACCATCCAAATTATTCCATTCCCTTCAAGCTACTGTTCTGTCATATTTACTTTGTGATGCCTAACTTGGTGCAAGTAACCCTCTAAAAGAAGACCTACTGTTTTTTTCATTCAGATTCTTCGAAGATGCATGAAGGATTGGGTTGAAAGGAAGAAGCCCCCATTTGGAGCGATCAGCAGCTGTGTGCTCCTTATGATCATATACACAACCTTTTGTGATACTTTCTCCAATTCAAATATTGACCTAGATACCTTTAGTCTAATAATAATTATTTTTATAAGTAAGTAATGTATAAGATTTGAGTAGACATGTTTATAATTTTCTAACCAGTCAAACATATTGCTGTCAGTTATCGCAGGGTTGTAGCAGTTTTTCAGCTGAGGAAAATTTGTGAATTATCCCCAGTTATCCCATTCCAATTTCTCAATCACTTTTTATGCTTAATCCAACTACCAGATTAAATTAGTAAAATAAATTTTCCAAACCACTTTAATACTATACTAAAAAAGCTGCAAATCATGTTGCTAAAAAAAAGTAGAAACTAGAACCAAAAAAGATAAATATTGTAAAGGGTATTTCTGTGCTGTTTAAATTTGATTGGTAAAGAAGATAACTGAGTTCTAAAGTATTTTTAAGATTATTCCATATGAGCAAAAGTCCCAGAACCTAGGAGTTCCACAGTACCAAGTGAATTATAAAATTCTTTCACAGCAGGAGAAAGAATATCTCCTATTCAAACCTTTTAATCTTTTCCCTTTTTCCAAAAAAAAAGCTTTCCTCCCCTCTCTGAGTAGTGACCCGTATGAGATTACACTTTCGCAGACTCTGAACATATTCTAGAAACCACCTATTTTTCATGTCTGAACCTAGACAGTGAATTTTACTGGGCAATATAATCGTGGAAGGGAACCCCATCATACTTGATCCTGTCCACACATTGTAATAGAAGTCAAAACCGATAGGGGTCAAGAGTAGGGAATCTGATTAATATCTACCTTCCCCTCCAAGGGCTATTGAATATTTGCATCATCCCCACTCTAGCTCCGGCCTGCTTCACATCCCCCGCCTTGCTTGCCCCACTATTGGCGGGCGGGCCAATCTTCTGCCCCCCACCCTCTGGAACTCCATCCCGCAGTCCCTCCGTCTCGCCCACTCCCTTGCCGCCTTCAAGACCCACCTCAAGACCTTCCTCTTCGATCTCCCTGCTTCCGCTCCTGCCCTCCAACCACCCCGAAACCCAGCTCGGGTCCGAAACTCTGTCTGTCCAGGCCTTGGGACGTCCTCCCGACGTGAAAGACGTTTTACAAATGTAATTCTCTTGTTGTTGTTCAATCGGCATAATCAGGAATCAAACCTAGACATTCCAGGTATTACCTTACATTTTAAAAATGGTCGTGTCTTGCCTTTCTATTAAATAAAAATTGTTCTTACATTGCAAGATTATTTGATTAAATCGCAGAATACAAATCTGATTCCATGTGCAAAACTCGAATAATAGACTCCTAGCTTAAACTGCAGGGAGATTGTGAGTTGTTTAATCAAGAAATCATAACCGAGGGAGAATTCAATTAGCCAGAAGTTAAGTGGCCAGACAAGGGACACTCAGAGGGGAATGTTGAAACCACAAGCAATTTTATTGAGATGATCATTGACTGCTATTTAATTCATGCAAATCAGAGCGCTAGAGCAGATGTTAGAGTAGATGTAGTGTTAGATATGTCATGCAGTAGATACAGAAAAAGTTGGAGTCTTAAAATGTATATTAGATACAGTAGATATAGCAATGCAGCAAAACTGATCAGGAAGTCTGGAAGTGGGTGAATATTTGGTCTCTGCATACAAAATTAAAAATACAGAGATCAGTTACTTTAAATTACTGGTAAAGGCAAATAGTTTAATTGTGAAGCATTCTAAGAAGGATTTTGTTGCACAACACTTCCAAATGAAATTGAGACAAATATTAGAGTGATGGAAAAAAAATGTATTTCCATCCATGAGAAGAATAGCCAAGACCTTAACTAAACAAGGAAATTAATGCTAACATAAAGTCAATTGTCACTCACTTTCTGTCTGTCTGTCTCTCGTTGTCTGCCTGTCTGTCCCTCGCTGTCTGCCTGTCTGTCTCTCACTGTCTGCCTGTCTGTCCCTCGCTGTCTGCCTGTCTGTCTCTCACTGTCTGCCTGTCTGTCTCTCGCTGTCTGCCTGTCTGTCTCTTGTCTGCCAGTCTGTCTCTTGCTGTCTACCTGCCTGTCTGGATTACGCAAAGGCACTCCTCGCCAGTCTCCCCAGCTGCACTATCCAGCTCATTCAGAACTCTGCTGCCCACATACTTACCCAGACCAAACTGTGTATCCCCATCTTACCAGTTCTGTCTCTCTCACTGTCTGTCAGTTGCTATGGTTTTACAAGGTAAACTCGCCTTCTCAAGTTAGTTTTACTTTTGTTAAATTATTTGATGTCATTATTGTTTCGTTTTACGCCCTTTAATAGAAAGCATCATTTGCTTATAGTATAGACAGATACATATATTTTGTGTGTTTTCTTAACTAAGAAATCAAAATCTGGAAGTCTGGCAGCAGACTTGAGAACACTTGTTGCTTACTGTTGCTTACTTGCAGTTAGTTACCAGAACTACTTCATATTTAAGAAATAGTGCAAAATTCGCCCTATTGTAAAAGTGATAAAAATGGAAAAATATATTACTGTTTAATATTCAGATCAAATAAGTCATAATTACAATAATAAAATTATAAGTAGTTTGAGTATTTCATGTTTGTGCTACATGAAACCTAGTACTGTACTTTATGTGAAACTTGAAAATGTTTATTTAAATTAGAGGGCGAGTTTACCCGTTACATGTTACAGTATATAAAATTAATTCATCTTTACAATACCTGCATTGCGAGTAATCAGTACTACTTTATCAAAATATTAAATTTCATTTTTATTTTTATTTCAGTATTTTTCATTCAGCTGATCTTCATGTTTTTAACTTTTGCCATCTCTACAAGGTAAGTATTTGTACTGGTTTTAAGTGTTTTTAAGAATTGTGCTCTATTCCTGAATTTTAGATGGAATTATGGTGTCAATGGCTTGCATAAATTGAAAAACATTGTACTTGTGAAAGTATCCAGAAGAAGTTTTTTAGAATAATATATTCAATTTCTGTTTTACTTCCAGGAAGAAATCGGGCTTTAAAGCCGCAGACACAGTTGCCATTATGTTCTGTTCCACGCATAAATCTCTTACTCTTGGTAAGTAAATTCCATTTTAGAAACGACAATGTCAACTTTACAAATTATTGAATATACAATATTGTATTTGTATTACTGTGATTTACCATTTGGTTTTAATAAACAGTTGTGAATATGTCTGCTGATGCAGTCAGGACTTGGACATGGATAACTACTAGAGTGATTTTACATATTTTACAATACAATACAAAATTATATTTGTATAGCGCCTTTCACTTCTGGAGGTGCTGGACAGTCACGGATTTGGAATATTCCTTGCATTTGGTATAGTGTCTTATTATATTGTCTATGTCCCAGAACGCTTCAAGGTATTTTTACTGTGAAGTGCAGTGACTATGTATTTTGTAGATGGTAGCCAAGTTGCGCAGTGCAGCTTCCCAGGACTGCTTTGGAGTGTCAGCCTAGATTAAGTATAAATCATGGGACTTGAACCGACATCCATCTGGCACCGAGGTGAGAGTGCTACAAACTGATCTCGGCTGGCGTTAGGTCTGTCGAGAAGTAGGTAGAGGCTCTTACATTTTAAGACTCCAACTTTTTCAGCTAGACATTATGAATCTTCTTGGCTCTTCAGAAAACTACTCAGTGATAGAGAAAAGGCTGGGATAGCTATTTTAAGCCCTACCTTTGGAAATTTGTGGGAGCATTGAAAACTGGGAAACAGGGGAGGAGACAGATGGAGTACTTCGTTAAAAATAATGTTTGCACTTGACAACACAGACTAACTAAAGAAATTACCTTTACAAATAGAGTTTGAGTTCATACATTATTCCCTTTCATTTCAACGATTGGAGAACACATTAATGTGTTAACTGAAAGAGCACTATTATTCTTGTTTTGTTTGTACCACTCCATTCCATTCTGCAATTGCTGAATTACTCTTGTAAATTTTCAAATGCTTTACAGTAAATGGCCAAGTATAAATGTTATTTATTTTGATCACAATTCAGAATATGATGGAATTATGTTCAGATGCCATAATCCACTGGTTAAAGTTAAGATTGCAGTAACCTAGCATCCCCACAAAATATACAATCAATTCACATTACAGTATATTTTGTAAAGCTCTTTAGACGTCTCGAAGACGTGATAAGGTGCTGTATCAAATGCAAGGATTATTATTATTATCCTATCCTACTGATAATTTGAATTTAGCATGGCTGAATAAATCAAAGAAATATGATATTCACATAATGAGGACTTCTCACTTTTATATAAACGTTGCACATAAAAATGTAGTAGATTGATATGGAAAATTCATAGATTAACTTTTGTGCCTTTGCGGTAAAATTAGACATATTTTATCTACTCCCATTATTTTCTTAAAATCCTGACAAGTTAATGTTAATATATGATCATAACATCCGACGTCTCAGTGCTCCAAGACACTATCCCGAGTGAAGGGTGCTAAATAAATGCATGTTGCAATAGAAGGATTGGACCTTAATGGTATAATAAATTAGGGGCAACAAGTGGATGGTTTCCCTTCATAATTATGGTGGGTAATTGAGCTGTAAAGAATTAAGATTTCACAGTTTTTTTAAATGCCTCATCTTCATATATAAAAAAAATTGGTTCCGACTACTGTGAACACCTAATGTGATTCTTGTCTTTTTTTGAGAGAAAGAAAAATTGAGCTGGTAATTCACCATTCTCCATATGAACTGAATCTGTGTGGCTGTAAGTCTAAATCCTGGGAGATCACTCTGTTTTCCATCAATTTGAATGGAACTGGAAGCTGTCTGTTTGGGGCTACAGTATAAATGTAACTTCCAATATCCTAACTGCTGTTTTTTTTGTCCATGAAAACACTCAATTTCTTTTGCCCCCCCTCACATCAACCTCAAAATAAAATTTATTTTACTTTAAAATTAAAGTCTTTCTCAATCTCTAATTTCCTGCTTTCAGAAATACCTGTTTTGTAGCACAATCTATAATAATAATCCTTGCATTTGATATAGCGCCTTATCGCATCTTTGAGACATCTCAAAGCGTTTCACAGAATATACTGTGAAGTGAATTGACTGTATATCTTGTTGGAGAAACTTGGTAGCCAATTGTGCACAACAATCTACGATTAATTGAGCAAAGTAACCCCTGAACCCTTGTAGGGCTCTTTAAAGATGCACTTGTAATGAACTGCTTATAGTGACTGGTCAGATTTCATTTTATCAAACTGAGTTTCACCTGCTGACTGAAACATTTATTCAGATCCAAAGCTGGTGAAATCTTCATATGCAACAACAGCAAAAAAAGACCTGTACCTTATTTGGGGTATCTGGCCACTGTAAATGTGTTATTTCTTGGCATTAATCATCAGCCATCAAGAGTCTAAATATCTATTTATGATTTAATGGGATTGTGAGAGAATTCACTAGGGCTCTGAATTTTCTCATAATATTGTAGAGTTCTGTAAACTTGCTTCATTATAATGTGGGTTTGCTTATAACACGATTGATTTGCAAACCCCAATATTTTCATATGCTAGTCTGATGACTGCAAACTAGTCTTCAGCTTTTAGACTTTGTATTTGGCATTCAATTTATGAAGTGTTTAGACCTATAAAAACTTAGGAAAAAAATTAATAATGAGAAGTAGAAAAGAAATGCCAATTGAAATTGTAATATCTACCTATCAAATATGAAATGCTGTATCGTACTCTGGGTATCTGGAATTTGAACTTAGCCAGACCAGGCCTGAAACCTAAAAATGTTTTTTAAAAGAATTTCATGAACCAAAAATGTCCATGAGTCGCGTGAAGACTCCCTCCCGCCAGCCCACTCTCCAGGCATGCGTCAGTGCCTTGCTGAGCAGACTCACCAGCCTTGCTGGTGTGGATTATTGTGGTATAAAGGAGGCAGGATTTATCCTAGGTCAGTCGTACTCTTGCCAGTTCAGCGCATTCCAAAGCCTACAGATGTAAACTGACATCTAGGCGTACAACTCAAATTCCCAACTGCTTTTGTGCATATTTCCACTCGCTCCTATCCCTTTCTCCTACTGCCACTGTTGCCTTAATGCTTGAGTACAAGTATAAGATACAAAAAGGGAAATGGTAGAAAAGTTGATAGGCAGGATTTAAACCTTTCCTAGATATCATTCTTTAACCCAGTCTGTCTATACTTCTCCCATCCAGTGCTCTGATAAAAGTTTCAACCGTGTTTAGTTGGTTTCATTCAAGCCTCTGAGTCAGAAGGTTGTGGATTAAGGCCTCATGTCAGAACTTTGAGTTTGTAGTCTACACTGATACTCCAGGGAGTGCTGCATCCTTTGAATGAGACGTTAACCAAGTTCCTGGTTTGCTCGTTTGAAAAGGGAATGGAGTTTCTCTTGGTGTCCTGCCCCAGGATCCCCAGTTATATTAAAAAAAAATGGTCATTCACTTCATAGCTATTTGTGGGACATTACTACGCACAATTTGGCTGTGAAGTGCTTTGAACCTTTCTAACATAAGACACTATATCAAATGTAAAGATTACTTTTATTATTATCTCCTGACTCCTACTCACACATAGAAAGAGATCTGGTCAGAAGGTGGGATTAGGGGAGATTTGTAATACATGGTTTGTGGTGGAAAAGGCTCAATGGACCAAATGCCTTTCTTCTGTTCCAAATTGTCTATGTTCCAATTGACTAACACTATTTATCTGCAATTTTCCCAACTTCACTAAAATGTACAATTAGCTCATATTTTTACCATTATGTACTTTTGAAGTTCTACGTTTACGAATGATGCATCATCTTGTAGATTTCTCATGTGCCAACAGCATATACAAATATTGTTTGTTTACATTTGTAGATTAATTGATTCTATAGGCTTGAGAGTTGTGGGGATAGGGCAGGGCAGTGGTTTGAACGAACAGCTAGATCTGAAAGACTCAATTGGCCTATCTGCTCTTCCTGTTTATTAGTGACTAGTTGTGTCCATTGCAGCTATGCTTGCAACCAAAGGATCCAATATGGAATTTAGATTGACACATAGACAGACATTTTGTCTTTATCTATATTCATCTAGGAGGACTCACCCTCCTTCCCCCCCACTGCCCTCCACCCTTCCCGATCCCGACCCCCAGCTCGAGTCCGAAACACTGACTGTCCAGTGCCATGGGACATCCTTCTGACGTGAAAGGCGCTATACACATGTAATTTTATTGTTGGTGTGGGAGAACTCATTTTGGTCGTGCTGTTCATTGAGTGGACAACTCATTTTGGCATGCTGTTGCAGTCCTTTCAGCATTGAAGTGCAGCCGCGCTGTTCTTTGTTCTTCAGTTTGATTTAATGAGCCTTCTCTCTTTTGTTCTAGCATTTTTACTTATCCTTGAAAAGTTTGATTTTTGCTTAGGCATCTTTATAATGATATATATCAATGTATAATTTATAATCACTGGGATGTCCTCCAGACGTGAAAGGTGCTTCAAAAATGTAATTTTGTTGTTGTCACAGCTTAGCTTTATTTGTGTTTTTTATTCTGTTCCCGCCGCTGCTTGGCTAAGTGCATGCCCTGTGACACAGGATGCCACAGCGCCATGATCAGCCGACATGGCCACCAGGTGTAACTGCACGATGCCACAGCCCCACTTTAACTCGGCGGCCACCAGGTTAACTGCAGCGAAAAATGCAAAACTGAAATACATTTTAGGTCAGAACTCATGAACGATAAGTGATACCCGAAAACAAATATGCCCATGTCACTCCTAGATGCAAGACCTTTCCGATGAGGTAAAATCATGCCTCTACGTCAATTGTTTATTGAGATCCTTCTTAAAGCACAGACAGACACAGACAGACATTGTCATTTTATTAGTATATATATATGAAGATATGACAGTTTAATGGAGAAAGATTTATTTTAAAAAAAGGTATTCTTCTTTGCAGTGTATAATAATTTTCAAATGATTTGGCCATGTTATTACTGCTCAGTCTTTTGCAGTATTTTTAGTAGATTTTCAAATTAAAATTATCAAATTAAACTAAGTTTTTTTTACTCAAAATAATAATA